GACAAGGCTTTCAATGTCTGTGATTTCTCTCCACTGCTATGAATTAAATAAATATTTTAAGAAGATATTAATTAAGCCTTTATTTATTTATTTAGTCATTTATCAGACGCTTTTATCCAAAGCGACTTACAAATGAGGACAACAGAAGACAACCTCACTGAGATTAAAAATCTCTTTTACAGGAATGTCCTGGCCAAGATAGGTGGCCCAGTAATACAAATACACATATAACAAACAACAATACATCACAACAATAAACTATCAATAAAAGTACAGCATTAGAAGCATTTGCAAATCATTACATCATTTTCTATTGTGCGCATAAATGTTTTAAAATTACTGAAAGACACCAACTGATTTAGCCGCAGTGTCATTTGAAGAGAGTTCCAATCTGAAGGTGCAGCATATTCAAAACCAGTTTTACCATTAGTTCTAGCTAAAGGTGCATAGAGACTATAATAAGACTGGGAACGCAATGAATAGTTACCAACTACTTTTGTTGAATCAAACAACAGAGATAAGGTGGCAAAAAAACTCAAAATTGCATTATAAATCAATAAGTACCAATGAAAATTGGTTACTCCAGAATCACAAATGTGTCAGCTACATTCCTTCTTCAGTATACATAAAATGACTGTACAGTACCTTACATGTCATATCACTTAGCAACATACATACAATTATTAGAAATTCCAAAAAAAAAAGAATAAAGGAATACACTGAGATGCTATCACAGAATATCTATTGAAACATCAGGAGTATCTATCACAATTAATATCAATAGATATTAGAAGTTATATATACAAATATTATTGAAAGACATAAGACTGTAAACATTACTTATGTATCATTACAGAAAGCTCAAGCTTATAAAAGACTTGCAATGATTGCAGTGTCAGTCAACGTATTTGCTTTCATACATTTCTGTTGACCAAATAAATATTGGTGTACCCATTAAAACATGAGAAACAGTCAGTAGCAGTCATGTTCAGTAACAATCAAGGCAGTATCAAATATCATTGCCACCTCAAGGCACACAGGTTTAGAAAAATCCACGATAAAGGATAATGTTTCAGTGCATTTGGCAGCACCTGCTGAGGACCTGAGCACTGGTCAGTTTAAAGCATATATTATGCTTTCAGTGTCCAATTATAGGTCAGGCCCGGTAAGGCGAGTTGACAATCCGCAGCTCTCCAAAACTGCGAGTCTGCCCTCCTGCCCGGCTTTTTCACATCTATTAACCAATCACTTCTGGCTCAATCTCCGTATCCTCCTCAACCTCCGAGTTCTCAGTGACTGTCATACTGTTATGGTCGCCTATAATAACATACTCTATGTCGGATCTCTCCATGTGAATGCTGTTGACACTTATTGTGTCCTGCACTGGGATCAGTTGATCACTGCTCTGAATATCCGGCATTTCATTCACTGTTTGTAAAAAAAAAATATATATATAATAATAATAAATGAAATAAAAAGTTTTTTTTTTTAAATTATTATTCATATATACAATCATTTTTATAATACTCTATTTAGGGTTTCTGCAGGTTTTATAAAGGTAAATTTAAAGAGTTTTAAAGTCCATTTTTCAATAGAAGACAGACATGAATAAATAATGAGTTTATAACGAGAATACCTCTGCTCCCAATCACTAAAATATGGAAAGAACTTTTACTGTACCTTCTGATCACACTGTAAAAAAGTAATATATTAATCAGTATTTTGTCTTATTTTCCACCGCAAATGTCTAAAGATTCTTAAATGAAGATACATTTACGTGAGAAGCAAAATGACATAAAACAGGAAGTTTTGTTTTCTGAGAAATTGATCAAAATGGAGTGGTTTTTGATCAAATATGTGGCAATGGGCTCAGAAAAATCAACTTAATTCAGACAAAATAAATTAGATTTTCATTCCCTGTTGACAGATGTTTGATTTTGCTGTTTTAAGCATTAATTAATGTTATTTTCTTCAATTGCTCAGAAAACAAGGCTTCATGTGCTCAATTTGCATATCAAGTAAATGTATCTTAAAGGGGTCATATGATGCGATTTCAAGTTTTCCTTTCTCTTTGGAGTGTTACAAGCTGTTCGTGAATAGATAAGATCCCTACAGTTGCAAAGACTAAAGTCTCAAACCCAAAGAGATATTCTTTATAAAAGTTAAGATAAACACATTTCATTACACCAAATACACAACATAATGTTCTTTTTATCAACGTCATAAGACCCCTTTAATATAATGATTGTATTGGAAAACAAGAAAATTACCGAGGAAGATTTATTATTTATTTATTTGTTTGCAACTTTTAAGACTTTCTGCTCCAATTCAAGATCTATTCTCTGGCCTTCATTTTTGGAAGGGGTGAATTAAGACTTTTTAACACCTTTTTAAGACCTGCAGAAACCCTGCTATTGTCTAAAATTACACTGTTATCCTAATTCACGTGACAAAAAGTAAACTAATATAATTAAAAAAAAAATAGTATTAAATAGTTATATATGTTATGTTTCCATTTTATATAAATGTATAAAATACAATAAACTGTTCATGCATATATATATAACCTCTATAACCCTAGAAGAATTTGACCTATATTTCCTGCTGCACAGACACTTACCATCGCTTGCATCATTCTGAGCGAGCAAAGAATGCTGTTCACAGGTAATGCATTGGCGATTGTTGTTCCCAATAATACAGTTGGTCAGGGAAGAGTTTTGTATGTTTATAACACAAGGTGTAAATTGCAATTTTTCTGAAAAGGGAAGACAAAAAGAGAAGACAAAAAACAAAAGACAAAAGACATCAATATGAGCAACGACATGACACATTGCATCAAAGGGATGTGGGACAGCAAAACAAGGCTCTTAGTCATGCATACTTTTGAGAAGTAAAGTATGCGTTTTTTTCATAGCAATACCTGTAATACTAAGTGGGTGAGGTAATCTTTCAAACAAGAATGAGACAACAACAGGAAGTAAGGTGGTATATTAACCACTGAACAGGAACTGCAAAATAATTTCTCTACTGACCCTGTTGAAAAAAACAGCATACGCTGGTTAGGTATATTTTGAAGCATGGCAGCATGGCTGGTTTGAGCTGGTTTAAGCTGGTCCTTAGCTGGTCATGAGCTGGTTTAAGCTTGTCCTTAGCTGGTCATGGTGCTGGTCCTAAGCAACTATAGCTCCTGCTCAGGACCAGCTTAGGTACAACTTAAACCAGCTCATGAACAGCACATGACCAGTTTAAACCAGCTCAAACCAGCAGCCATGCTTCAAAACGTATCTAACCAGCATATGCTGGATTTTTCAACAGGGGATATTCCTGATGCTTCCTAAAACAACAGAGCAAAAAATAAATAGTCTATGACCAGATATATCACCAGTAAGGCAAAAAATGCAAAAATATCTACCTGAGAGAGGAATTTGCTCTACATGTTGATGGTCCTCTTCATTAAATTGTGCTGAATGATAGAAAATGCATGAAAGAAAAGAAGAAACAGAAAGAAATAGAAAAATAAGTAATGAATAAACAATTCAGACAGTGGCAAATATCTATTTTTTTTTTTAAAGCATTAATTTTTGATAGATTGTCCTACCTGGGAATCCAGTAACATGCTCATACAACACCGGGTCACAAATTCCAAGGCATGTGAGGAACGAACTGCATGCACTTTGACCTTTTTTAATGACAACCTGCATCAGCCTGGATGCTTTCTGCATGTCCGTGGGCTGGGATGTGATAACCTGTGCTTCGTACGCCGTGATTGTGCGGCATCGGGACAAACAGCTGGACATCCTTTGAACCAAATACCCAGTCATACACTTACTTAGGGAGCCCAAATAGCGCTGTAATTGTTTATCTATTGGGGAAAAGAACAAGAGAGGGCTGTTTACAACACAAGAATGTAGACAGGATGTAGCCTAGTACATCCAATAAATGCATTAAAAGTTGTACTGATAAAGTGGGACAAACAAGTTTAATACTCAATTGCCATGATCTTAACATGTTAAAGAAAGTGGGACAGTGACTTTCAGAAACTGTTCATAAAACAAAGTTGCTGCGATTTTGTAGTAGCCTATTTAAATGGCAGAAAACATATTTGATAAAAAATTTAAATCACAAGCCATTTTATCTAACAGTCATTATTTGTGCTAAAAAATCTAGAATTATCAATCGAAATCAGTTGAAATGACATATTGCTCTTAAGAATTTACTTTTCGGAGGGTTGTGGCATTAAAAAATAACTAAAATATTTAAAGTACAACGTTTTAATCCGTGTTCCATTGCGAATATACTGTACCAATAACTGTTTTGCATCATTCACCCTGTATTTGCTTTAGCCTACTACTGAAAACAACAGTTGATTGACAGCTATACTGATTTTTTGCGCTTCCTTTTTACTTGTCACATTCTTTACTTTCCCAAAACAAAGTAACTAAACACAGCATGTGGCAAAAGAAGATGTGGGCTATGAGTTAGAAACTTACCAGGAGGTATAACAACCGTGCTGTCCATCTATTACTTGTAGCAATAAATAACACCACAAGGTAAAGTAGCTCTGGTGGCATCTGAAAACGAAACACTACTTCCATTGATATACGTAGGAGTAAATGCGCATGCGCGTTAAGAAAAGGAATTTCCAGATAAGAATTTCCCCATGTGCATTATGTCATTGTGGTTAACCGCAGCTTTTAATGTCATGCGAACAACAACAGCAAAAGTTTTAAGTCTTAAATATGTGCTTCATCTTCAACAAACGCAATTTAGCGGCACTAATAGGCTACACTTACATGTATGTCTTTATCAGTCAACTGAACAGAAACAGAGTAAATAATCTAGTTTATTGTGCGTCTAATATTGCCGAGCGTTTAAATTAACAACACATTATTTATCAACCATAAATCCACTTTTGCACGTTTGTAGCGCAACACTGATGTACATCAAGTTGTCTACAAGCGTCAGTAGCACAAAGCTTGATTTCTATTGGTAGTTGCTGTTCTAACAGGGAGGTTCCGTTGCACTTGATTAGATGAGGAGCATCTCGAAGCCGGTATGATGGGAGCAGAGCGTGAAAATATGAATGTATGAGATCTACAGTCCACCATTGTTTGGAGGCACATTCAAATTGTCGCAAAAATGAAGATTTGGAGCACTGAGCACATATTCAGGTAGACAAGCAGCGTTCAGGGCGAATGCAGCGCTTGCATGCACAGATTCCAGCATCCTCTCTGTCATGATTTGCATCCCGATTCCCTTTGGTAGCGCTAGTATCAGCATAACTCGCCTCCTTTGGACACTTTTAGCTTTTAAGCAATTAATTCTTGCACATTACACAAATCTAAGCGATAGTTGCGAATATGCATTAATTTGGGCCTAGCCGGTTGCTTGTCTGTGAACGTCTATTACAGTTATGCGCAATGTCCTTACACGACTCACTGTTACTATTCACAACTGTTACTAAAAAAACTCATAAATGTAGTTATATATTATTTAGTGTTTTTTACGGAAACCTAGTGACATTGATTTTTTTCCCCTGCCTGTCAGTAAATTGTAAAAGTTGACTAAAATGTGGTCTATTTCCATATTGATAAACAACCTAAGCTGATGGTTTTTCAACCTGGCTGGTCAGTTGACTGTTTTAGAAGGGATTTGTTTGATTACCAAGCTAAACCAGCCGACGAGACCACCTCAAACGAGCTAAGACCACCTTAAACCAACTAAAACCACCAAACCAACTCGATTCATGATGCATCATAATTCAACAGACCTCCAAAACAGAACTGTGCAAAACCAGTATATTTCAAAGTTTCTTTTTTTGTTTTTAAATGAAGTCATTAGTTTCACTCAGAAATGATTCATTATGTGGAAATTAATGATTTCAAACTAACCTTTATTTAAGGTCCCAGCCTCTCTTGTTATGGATGTGATGTTTGTTGTTGATAATGATGAACTACACTGGCAAAAAATTCTTCCTCCTCGCATTTAAGCTAAATTTCCCTTGAATGTGTTTTGCCTATGAGGTCAGTGTCAGTATAGTGATGTTCCCTATAAACCGCTGAAATCTATTGTGATGTTTTTGATTGTATTCACACAGCTACCCTTGGGAGACTGTGATCAAAGCGGCTATGAGGAAGTATCCTAATCCAATGAACCCTAGTGTTGTTGGAGTGGACGTTCTTGACAGGAACTTGGACACACATGGACGTCTACACAGTCATCGGCTCCTCAGCACGGAGTGGGGGCTTCCAGCGGTTGTCAGAGCGGTTAGAAGATATGCATCACACTGCTAAATATATTGTCTTATTTACATAACAGCTTTTACATCTCACATGTCATGTATATTTTACCTCCAAAGCACATAATTAACAGTTCAATTAACAATCTGAAGCGATATTTAATAGTTTTAGCAATATGAAAGTGTATATAACACTCTTACAGTGCGCAACAGTGGTTTGCAATGTTTTTGACTCCCAGGGCCTCTTTTGTCCACAACAATATTCAAAGGCCCCATGTTTTCCAGTTGTTCATGGATTACTGAATAAAGATTAAGGATAAGGATCTGTAAACAATATTTTTAACTGATCATTTTTACCTGATAAATATGTTAGAGCTTAGCATAACTACAAATCAAGCTTTTAATATAAGACTACCTCATATATCCAGGTTTTTCAAGACAATGGGAAAAAACGTAGTTGAGGTGGTGAATTAAAATAAGAAATATGTTGTGTTTTGGCTTATTTTAAATAATTTTACGTCATATTGAGGCTCTCTTGGAAGTTTGCTGGGGCCTCCTGACTGAGAACAACTGGGCTTATAAGGACCTTAATTTTTTCCCCATAGATTTTAGGGACAAATCGGACCATCACATATGTAAAAGAACATTCCATTGTGGACCCAGAAGAGAAAAAAATGGAGCTTTGCTCAACAAACGTGAGTTTTTGTTCAACATTCGACAGCTATGCATTATAGAAAGCTATTCTAATCAGATTATTTTCTTAATAGAAAGTGGTTTTATGAATTCACATCTTATTTTCACGCTGTACTAAAGAAATTCCTTTTCTTCTACAGATAACCCTAACTAATTTTATATCAGTTGATGAAAGGCTTGTCTACAGGCCTCATCCAGAAAATCCAGAAGTGTAAGTAAAATCCATTTGTAAGCGTATTTAACATAATTGTCATCTAATTGTAATATCTGCATGAATATCTATACACATACATGCAAGCCATACAAATAGAAAGCAATAATATGTTAAATTATATATCAAACTTATATTAAGTTTCTGAAAATGATGTTTGCTTTACTTTTGCAGCACTGTATTAACCCAAGAGGCGATCATCACGGTGAAGGGGGTCAGTCTGAGCAGCTACCTCGAGGGACTGATGGCTCTAACCATGTCAGCCAATGCAAGAAAGGTCAATCATTTTGTATAATGTAATGAAAAATATTCATTTGACCAAATATCCCTGGAATATCCCACTCAACATCGTGTCACCATGTCACGTGTTTATTACAAGTCCTTGATGAAAGTTTGCTATTCTCTGAATAAATGGGAACTTAGTAGTTCCTATTTTCCTGCTGACACAATCAGAGAAGGACCAAAAATAAGCAACTTCAAGCACTGATAATGTGGTTTTGTCCCTATCTAGGAAACCCTGTTGTTTTTGTGGATTCTTTTTTTTTTATTTTAGTTTAGTTTCATTAATTGTTTTAGTCTCTTAGCAACTATAAAAACAGTTTGATATGATTTTATATACCATAGATGAAGCATTATACAAGCCTCTAAATAAAGTATGAAGCTCTAAAGGTTTTTTTGTCATAGGGATGGGACGCCATTGAATGGATCATTCAAAACTCTGAAAGGGAAAATGTCCCTTTGTGTGACTTGTGTTGAACAGGTAATGTTTCATCTAGCACCTGTTTTTGGCTGGTGCAAAACAGAAATGACACATAGTGAGTTTTGTCATATGCATTAGTACCATAGGTTATTTAATAACATTTAAATGTTTGCAAAATAAATATTTTAAATGTTATTCTCTATACAAATATACATATGTATATATATTTATTTTTTATAATAAACATACGTTTTTAATGTAATTGAGACATAGACAAGGCCCAATTTTTTTAAATATAATATTCATTTACTTTTTATAAATATGTGTTTTATTTGTGCTTTCAGAGCCCATGAGTGAGCAGCGACAGCAGCACCAGCTCTGAAACCACATCTGGCCTGCGTGAATTTGCCCAATCTCTCTTTGTGTTGATGTTTGTACTCGAAGGTAGTCAAATTAGTGCTCATTTAGGCACTGTTTTATTTAAAACCTCATCAAATTGCACTATTACAGACAAAACTGTATAGAGTTTTGAATGTAGCTACAAAATATGTATGCACTGCACTGACTACCTCTTATTTTAGAGTTCTTTTAATGCCATAACAGGAATCACAGTATCGATTGGATGTTAATTTGGAATTAAGCACATTAAAGTTTAGAATATCTAGGAATTGAATTATATTTTTGGTGTGTTCTTAATTTTTTTAAAGACATGATTAAGGGGAATATGAGTTAATTTTGTTGTTTGCATGGACAGTCATAAAGTGTAATTAACCGATAAAGTCTAACTAAAACTTGTAGGATAGATACTATAACTTATTAAAAGTCATTTTGTAGTGTTTACTTTAAAAGAACGTTCTATATTTCAAATAAGTTTATGTTGCTTCTTTACACATTGTGAACATATTGTCAGCTTATTTGTAAAGGCTTTTTAGTTTGTTTAGTAGAATGATATGAATGAATGCTTATTTATGGTTATGTTTTAAAAAATAAAAAACATTATTTTATTATACTATTGCTGCGGTTCAGTATGAAAAGCATGTTTGCTTTATTTCGTGGGAAAAAATGTTACAATGCATATATTTGTTAAATTATTAACTGCCTACTTTCTTTAACAGTTCAGTGTATCGACTTCAACAAACTTGTTATACATTTGTAAACTTTTTGATTTTTAAAACATTGCTTGTCAAAGTGTATAAACAAATAGTTGTTAAGGTCTTATGGAGCCCCCTATTGGCGAATTTAAGAAGAAAAACTATTTAAAAAAATATTAAATTACGCTCGAAAAGCTGAAATGGGCGGACCGCGAACGTCTTGTGTGAATTCGTTTTTGTTTCTTTTTCTGTTTGTCCCAGCATCTTTTTTTTTTTATTAATTTATTAGACTTAAAGACTGCCTTGTAATTGTATATTTGTAACCTCTTTAATTGTTTCCCTAATTGTATTGTTTCAATGAAGTATAATGAAAAGGTCATCAATGTCAAAGCTAATTAAACAATTATTTCACTAGTCATAGAACTACAGGTCTTAGGAAAAACGAAATAACCTACTTGACATTGCGTAAAGCTCCTCCACTGGAAAAAAAAGCATGATGAAACACCACCCAAACAGAAGCAAACAAACTTAAACTTGGTTTGTACTGTAATTGAGTCATCTAACAGTGCCAGATGAATTTCAGAATTATATATTTCATAACGTAATATTTTCAGCTTTGATATTGTTGAAGAGACTGAAATGTCTTTATAACATATTGCCTGACAGTCATACTCGAGCCTTTTGTTAATTAAGGCACAGCAGAAAATCTTAACAGTCCTGATGATGGCTCCATTTCTCATTCAACGGTGACATTTTAATGCAATTTTTTGTTTGGTCTGGGGGCAAATAAGTCATGCGTAATGTATGCTAATAAAGTATCTTAAATGCCATGGTATTAAATGTTCTTTTAATGCAATCCCAAACTCTGTTTTTTCTCTTATGTGGAGGATGAGGAATTTATTCAAAGAAACAAAATAAAATTTGAGTTTTTTTTAATGCTAGTTTTTCTGTGATGTGTATTTATTTGAATGGGTATGCACATTGTGTTAATGCATACATTACCACAGTGGATACAGATTCCAACAGTGAAGGGTCAGTTTTGGTTAATTGTGCCGTTTATTGCTGGTAATGTTTTGTTATAGCAAAATATGCAGCACATGACTGCATAAAAGTTGTTGTTAATGAGATTTTTATGACTCATAGCACAATATATTTTCTTGAGACATATTTTAATGTCAAAATAGCAACGTGTAATTCAACAGTAAAACTAATCTATAAAAATATATACATTTTTAGTACGGAATTATTTAGTGCATTTTGTGATGCAGTCGGAGTTGAATTCATGTAAATACAAGAACCCAGTATTACAAATAAATATTTATAGACCACATCTGTATTTAAAGAAAAAAACCAACCACCAGACATATTCAACTCATATTTAAAAAAAACATCTCTTGTACACAAGACAGCAGTAAAAACTTGCCAGGCAATGATAGATTGTGGATTATATCAGTAGGACCAGTGACTTCTTGTTATTTATAGATCTTGTTGCTTGTATTTCTTTGCCAAATATGTTCTTCAAATACCAAAGATAACATAGTAAGCATTGAAATTACAAGTTGGAAAAAAAGATCCAAAACATGGAAAAGTTTAGGTTATTGTGAACTGTGATAAATTCACTACACTAAATACTTTATTCATCGATTCCCATATAAAGCTGAATTAATAGGATTCAGAAGATTTATTCAGAAAGAACCATCTGCAAATGAATGACAGCTTTTAAATTTGCTTATGACCACTCAGAATAAGGCACCTTGGATGAGTTTACACTTCAGATCTGCTTACAACATACTCATGTATTTACGGTTTAGAAAAACAAGCACACTTAAATTGCAAACCACTAAAAATATCAAATGTATAAAAGTGAAAAAAAAAAAAAAAAAAGTACTTGGAAAAGTATTGCACACCAGTGTTAAGGCCATTTTGGTAAACATTCCCATGCACTTGCTAAAGCACCAATTATGCTATCTGAAATTCAAACAATAAATGTTTGTGTTGCCAAAAATCAAACCTATATTATATTCACAGAAGAAACTAGGGCATCCTGACAGCACAATGGCAACTTTTTATGCATGTAGGATCAATTTAAACACCCTTTTTCTTATCCTTAAATGTAACTTTTCTTGAAGTAAACACGATCCATGCTGAATAAATAAAAAATAAATCCTTTATAAATACACAGACCCCCAACACATAGTTTCTCATCTTGCATATTTAGAGTACATTCAGTTTCCAAACTTCTCCACAAAACATTATGACACCTGCTTCTAATGCAACCCCATTTTTCCCTGCCTCAAGTCATCCAGGAATCCTTTGCACTATTGACACTATTTACATGGCAGCAATGCAGCGCCCCCTAGAACTTGAAAAGGTTGATGAAACCCTGTGGAGACACGGCCTTGCAGCAGCTCTCTGGGTTATTGGCAGTGCAAGGATGGTTTGTATCCTGAAGTGAACAGAAAAAAAAAAAAATCAGTTATTGCCATAAAAGGACTTTACATGAAAAAAAAATAAATAAAAGAGTGATGTATTTTCAAATAAAATGTGAAGAGCTAGAAATGAATTTAGTCTCACCTTCCAGAACAGGATGTGGCAATGTGTGCAGAACTGTAATGTGTCACTGTACTGCTCCTTGTGAGGGTAGCACCGGCACAACTTAAAATACATCTTTTTCCATTCCAAATGTCCTTTATCTGACAACATTAGGCGCTTGCGGATCTGTGAAGAACATAGCAAATTACTCTAACCAAATTTAGCGTTTGCATGCAAGATTTAAGATATAAACAGTCCCATAAATATGCAAGATTCATCTTCTCTGCCATCAAGTAAGACCTTAAATGCGTTACATTCCATTTGAAGAGCCACAAACGTCTACCTGTCTGTCTGAGAAGTGATACTGGCAGAGTTTCTTCCACAACAGCCGATCTTCTGTCAGCACACTTAGGTCAGGGCATACTTGACCCAGGCTAACCAGATCTCGTCCATCTGAGAGATGGTGCATGATGTTCAGCTGTAAGCTAGCCGGAAGATCAATGAAGGTCATCCCTGTGTTTGTGGGCTGGACAAATGAAAGAAGAAGAAAGTTTCTGTTTACATTCATGATCTGAGCACAATATAAAGTATGTTCTGTACGCCATCAAACAGTTGTTGTTGTTTTTTTGTAGCTTAAAGGAATAGCTTACCTCCAAAAAAAAAAAAATAAATAATTTACCAGCGTTATTACGGTCAACTAAAACTTAAAGGGATACTCCACCCCAAAATGAAAATTGTCATTAATCACTTACCCCCATGTTGTTCCAAACCCGTAAAAGTAATTGTGTTCGTAATTGTGTTCGTCTTCGGAACACAATTTAATATATTTTGGATGAAAACCAGGAGGCTTGTGACTGTCCCATTGACTGCCAAGTAAATTACACTGTCAAGGTCCAGAAAAGTATGAAAGACATCATCAGAATAGTCCATCTGCCATCAGTGGTTCAACCATAACATTATGAAGCGACGAGAATACTTTTTGCACGTGAAGAACACAAAAATAACGACTTTATTCAACAATTCGTCTCCTCTGTGTCTCTCCGCATCACCGTAGTGCCATTTTGGAGAATATCCGCTGAACGCAAGCAGCGTACGCTATTCTGACGAATTGTTGAATAAAGTAGTTATTTTTGTTTTCTTCGCGTGCAAAAAGTATTCTCGTCGCTTCATAATGTTATGGTTGAACCACTGATGGCAGATGGACTATTCTGACGATGTCTTTCATACTTTTCTGGACTTTGACAGTGTAATTTACTTGGCAGTTAATCAGACAGTCAAGGACAAGCCTCCCGGTTTTCATCCAAAATATCTTAAATTGTGTAACGAAGACGAACGAAGCTTTAAGGGGTTTGGAACGACATGGGGGTAAGTGATTAATGACAACATTTTCATTTTGGGGTGGAGTATCCCTTTAAGTTGATGTTTAGCTTTAGTCCACAAGTAAAATTTATGGTGCTTCTGTGTTGGTTTTTTAAACCATATTTCAAGCTTCCATCCATTCACTTTCCTTTCACAGAAAAGAGCAGCTAAAACATTCTGCTAAACTTCTCCTTTAGTGTTCCACAGAGGAAGAAAGTCTCAGAGGTTTGAAACATAAGGGTGAATAAATGATGCTAGAATTTTCATTTTTGGGTGAACTATCCCTTTAACGAAATAAAAAAAAGTGAGTTTTACACTTACCCTATTGATCTGAATGTTGTCAAGCTGCTGTTGCCACTGCAGTATGTTCTCCATGCGATGCACCCAGATGTTGATGTTCCCCACCAGGACAGACTTGCCCATGTCCTGAACCAGACTGCACAACGACGCATATAGCGTCTGCAGCAGTTCCTTAATCGGTCGAACATTCTGCTGATCCTCAAGAACTGAAAAAGAGGGCAAATGTTTAGTTAGTAACTAACAGTTCAAGGACGCACAACAACATGTGTCCAACAGTGTTGACCGGATCTGGTGTCTGTCACAGGATACTTTAAGTTCATGCCTGATGCTTTGCTTTCATAACCCACATATCAAAACAGAATACCTTTCCGTTATGATTAGGACATTTAAATCATAAACCAAAGAATAAGAAGAGTGACAGGTAAATGAAT